AATGATCCATATGTAGATGTAGATTTGGTGTTCTGTGGGAGGAGATGTGTTGAGGAACTTCCCACAACACCATCTTGAAGCTCTTTTATGCTCATTATTCTTATATAAAATAACAGCATAGAATTCAACCTCAAGGCACTCACCAGCTTTGAGTCAGTATCTATGGTAGATAATAAAAGTTTTACTATTATTTGTTTTGCACATACATTGGGGGTAGATTCTTATATCTAATGCAAAAGGCAAGGTTAAAAACAGTATAACTGAAAATCACTCTTCTACTTAAAGACATTTTAAATCTAGCCACACTCCTTGGAAAATAAATAGAATCTAAACTGTAAAAGCATACATTTTTCAGGAAATTTATTTGTTTTTCAAAATGTATTTCAAACACCAGACACATGTTTCTTATACAAATATCTGACCGCACAAGAGTACGTTTTGACATATGTCAACTATAACCCAAGCATATGGAAAGGGCAGGCATTAAATTGAATTGTAGGGAGACATGGGAAGCAAATTTTATTGAGGAATTATGGTGCTTTGCACTTATTATCTACATGTATTTTTTCAAAACAACCCTCTGTTATATTATTTCAATTTAGTGTTAACTGAAGCACAGAGATACTAAAAAATTAACCATGTTAAATCGCAAGTTCCTTAGGAAAGCTGAATTTTTTCATGGCACATAGAAGAGTTATGGCACGTAACAGGTGTTCACTTTACCTTTGATGAATGAATATTTCAATAAGTAATAGGCACTAACCTGGGAATGACATTTCAAATTAAAGAAATATATGCACATGATAATACTCACTAAGGTTAAAGGGAAAATATGCCTCGTTTGCTTCCTAAACTTTTTAGAAGTATAAAATACAACAAGGAACCATGAATCTAAAATTTCCAAATTATACCAAAAGTAATGGTTAATTAGATATACTGAGGCAAATTTCATTTTTGTGATCAACAACCAGAAGGTCTATTAGACTTAAAAATATCTACATCGTGTTTTTCCTAAATCTCAAGAGTATATTTATATGGCAAACATCTTCCTTTGAGTTAACCTACCAAATATTACAGAATAGGTCTTAAAACACATCACATTTTCAAATTTTCTCTCTGCTGTGGTGATGCTGGCATTTTGGAAAATCACTAGAAACATAATGATAGTAAGAATTTCCCTATTCTTTAGTACAAGGTTTAACTAGTCATAAGCAAGAAGAAAATATAACCCTTCTTCCTTTTCCTGTGTGTTAAGATTTTCTATGGGGATAGAGGGATTTGCACATAACAATTGAGAGAAAGCCCCAACATCAATGGTTTTGGCCATTTTTTTTTACAGCAATTATACCTAAAACCCTGTGGTATCAAAGAGAATCCAAAAAAACAAAAAACAAAGAGAATCCTAACTAGGAACTTACGATTTCATGTCTTTCATTTTGGGAGAGTATGTTTAGGAATATTCTCTCACTGTCTCCTCTCTCTTGTAGTATGGGATCTCCCTTACAGCAATCCATACAGCCTGAAAGCTTGCTGTCATGGCACATGGTGTTTATTAGTATCAGTGGCAGATTGAATACAAATAAAAATGAAAAACTCAGTAGAAAAGTTGGAAGATAAATTTGATAATATCTTACTGAAAGTACAGCAAAAAGATAACCACATTGAAAATGGAAATCTCAGGGTTAACAGCTGTGCTCCAGGTAAAGAGTAACTAATTCAGATTGGAGCACATTAGAAGATTTCAGGAAAAATTTCTTCAAGATGATAAAACTGTTACACTACCAAATGTGTATGAATGTATTGAGAAGAGATATATGCACCTGCAAAGGGTCTGAGAATAAATTAGTAGCAAGTACTTAAGTAAGTACATTTTTGTATTTTGTAAGCAAAAATACAAGAAATAAAAACTAAGAAAATAATAAAATCAAAAAACAAAAAGAAAGTCATGTTATACAAAAATAGTATACAGAAATAATATATTATATGTATATATATTATATATAATCATATATTACATAATTCAAATGTGTAAAGCATTTACTTAGTTATAATAATGTTAACATTGAATAACAAACTAACCAGAATTATGAAATAATAATACTGAGAGAATAAAAAGAGAAAAAAGAGAGAATAAAAGAGAAAAGGTAAAAGGATCACTGAAGAGATCTTGAAAAATATCAAAGAAAGACCCTCACATTTCATAGCGGAAAATCAAGCAACAACCCCTAGCACTGAAAAATCAAGAAGTAGCCATATACTCAGATATGAGACATAATGCTAGATATCTCCCAAATTCTGTCTTCTCCTTTTTTCAGAATAATAAAAAGTTTAGCTGGGCACATGGCTACCCAGAATATAACTACATTTGCAACTTCCCTTGCAGTTAGGTATGACCTTGTAAGTACTCTTTAGCCAATGGGATGTAAGTGAATGTGTCTTGTGGCAGTTTCTGGGAATCCTCTTTAAAAGATAGCTGGTACACACCCCTTGCCTTTCTTTTCCCCCATCTCTGTCTTTCTTCCTAGACCATACATGTCATAATTTTGGACCTTGAGGACAAGGGCTACATCATAGGGATGGCAGAATGGAAGGTGGAAGGTACCAGAATCTTTGAGGAATTCATGGGGCAGAACTGCCATGCCAGCTTTAAATTATATACCCCTGGACTTGTCCATGAAATTAGGATATCTTGTCTAAGTCATTGCTATTTTGAGTCTTTCTGTTTCTCAGAGCCAACCCTAATTCTAATTAATACAGAACATTATTCATAGATGGAAATAAATATCAAAGGAATCATCTAAAACAGTGAAAAGTGGTTGATTCTAGCTATTGGGAAATAGTAGGAAGGGAGCAGTAAGGAATGTTGGTTTTATAGCAAGTTTTATAGAACTTGACTACTTAAGCTATGTGTATATATAACTTTAATTAAAAAAATAAAAATGATAATAATACAAAAACATGCTCTGATGTTCCTTATTCTTGGCATTTAGGCTTCTCATACCATTATCCTACTCCAATTCCTCTCCAGTCACTTGTATTCTTGTGTTATCCCTCTTGCTAGACTCCAAACTCCTTAAAAACAAGAAAAGTCTCTAATGCTTCACATTTTGTTTATGCATTCACTTGATGGACATTTGTTTTTTTCCCACTTTTGGCTATTATGAAGAATGCTGTTATGAACATTCATATATAAGGTTTTTTAAAGTTTTTTTTTTTTAATTTCAGTTAGATAACATACAGTGTAATATTAGTTTCAGGTGTACAATTTAGTGATTCAACACTTATATACAACCTGGTGCTCATCACAAGTGCACTCCTTAATCCCCAGCACCTATTTAACCCATACCCCCAATTACCTCCCTTGATACTATCAGTTTGTTTTCTATAGTTAAGAGTGTTTCGGGCGCCTGGGTGGCTCAGTTGGTTAAGTGACTGCCTTCGGCTCAGGTCATGATCCTAGAGTCCTGGGATTGAGCCCCGCATCGGACTCCCTGCTCAGTGGGGAGTCTGCTTCTCCCTCTGACCCTACCCCCTCTCGTGCACTCTCTCTCACTCTCTCTCTCTCAAATAAATAAATAAATAAAATCTTTAAAAAAAAAGAGTCTGTTTCTTGGTTTCTCTCTCTCTCTCTTCTTTATGCTCATTTGTTTCATCAAAATAGAAAGCTTCTGCACAGTGAAGGAAACAATCAACAAAACTAAAAGGCAACCTAGGGAATAGGAGAAGATATTGGCAAATGAATTATTTGATAAAGGGTTAGTATCCAAAATATACAAAGAATTTATCAAACTCAACACCCCCAAATGAATAATCCAATTAAAAATGGGCAGAAGACATGAATAGACACTTTTCAAAAGAAGACACTCAGATGGCCCACAGACACATGAAAAGATGCTTACCATCACTGATCATCAGGGAAATACCAAAACTACAATGAGCTATATCACCTCACACCTGTCAAAATGGCTAAAATTAACAACACAAAAAACAACAGGTGTTGGCAAGGATGTGCAGAAAGGGGAACTGTCTTGCACTTAGTGGAATGCAAATTGGTACAGCCACTATGGAAAACAGTATGGAGGTTCCTCAAAAAGTTAAAAATAGAACTACCCTATGACCCAGCAGTTGCATTACTATGTATTTACCTGAAGAATACAAAAATACTAGTTTGAAGGGATAGATGCAGGCCAATGTTCGTGGTAGCATTATCTACAATAGCCAAATTATGGAAACAGCCCAAGTGTCCATTGACTGATGAATGGAATATCAGTCATAGAAAAGAATGAAATCTTATCATTTGCAGTGATGTCAGTGGAGCTGGGGAGTATTATGCTAAGTGAAATAAGTCAGAGAATGAGAAATAGCCCATATGATTTCACTCAGATATGGAATTTAAGAAACAAATCAAACAAGCATGTACAAGTTTTTGAGTATACATACATTTCATTTCTTTTGGGTATATATATATATATCTTAGAGTGGAATTGCTGGGTCCTATGATAACTCTATGTTAAAAATCTTGAGGACTGTTTTCCAACATGGTTAAAACATTTTACATTTCCATCAGAAGTGTATAATGGTTCCAATTTATCCACATCCTGGTCAACACTTGTTATCATCTGTCTTTTTTATTGTAGACATCATATTGGCTACTAAGTGATATCTCATTGTGGTTTTGATTTCCATAATTACAAATGATTGAACACTTTTGTGTATTTATTGACCATCTGTATATCTCCTTTGGATAAATGTGTATTCAAACTCTTTGCCCATTTTCATTTCATTATTTGCCTTTTTATTATTAAGATGTAAGAATTGTTTATATACTCTGAATACAAGTTCCTTATCAGATATGTGATTTGAACATATTTCCTCCCATTCTGTGGATTATCTTTTTCACTTTATTGATGTTCTTGTTTACAGGACCTCATGCAATTTTTTAAAGCTTTAATTTATGACAATCTTTAACAACAGCATGAAAATTATCAAAAATGTCTTACCCGAACTATTTCACAGTCAACATTTAATTCAGTTGCAACTGCTTCAATTTTCTCTCTACAGACAGAACCAAGGCTGGTCATTCCATTGTCCCAGTATCTCTTAAGTGTGGCTAAGTCTCGGTCACTGAACTGAGTGCGATCTTGTAGCTGTTAAAACAGATTTAAAATAATTAGAATAATCAAAGGAAAGTATATTATAGAAAGGACAATCTGGGTGATATTTGCTAAGTTACTTTTAACACATAACAGTAGCTAAATTAATTTCACAGTTGTTTTTTTAAATTAATTTATTTGAGAGAGAGAGTGGGGGGAGGGGTAAAGAGAGAGGGAGAAAGAATCTTCAGCAGGCTCCATGTGCAACATAGAGCCTGATGCTGGACTCAATCTCACAACCCTAAGATCCCAACCTGAGCCAAAACCAAGAACTGGAGGCTTAACTGACTGTGACACCCAGGCACCCCTGATTTCACAGTTCTTAATATGTGATCTCCCATTTTGAAATGGGCCTGTCCATGATATTTATTTCCATAAAATGAAAACATGCTAGAATAAAATGAGTAAAAAAATTTTAACTGTTAGAAATTAGGCAGTATTGATTTTAAACAGTTGTAATCACTTAAATAATACATTACCATTGTGGAAAATACAGATAAATTAAAAAAAAGAATTTAAATCACCCACAATTCTGGAAATAGCACTTGTTAACATTATAATGTGTACTTTTTCAAGTTTTTTTCTATGATACACATATTCACATTCACACTACATACATTTTAAAAATAACAGGATCACAACACTGTGTTGTTTTTAGATGTTAATCTAGATTTGCCATACATATGTCTTGTACTAATGTTATAATTAAAAGTGTAAATAAAAAATGTAAGAAGATAATATAGCCTTAAAAATCATATTTATGGCTTTAGAAAGTTTCATAATAATCCTATAATTTTTGTTTTTAGATTTTTTTAGTCCAATAAACTATGGTCATTATATATTGTTTTAATTCAATGAATCCTGGAGGCACCCCTAGGAAGTAAATTAGAAGCATGATAGAATAATGACTTCCATTTGGAGTCAGAAAAGCAAGGTCAGGGGACTCATTCAACAGGGCACAAAATGTCCATGGCTGAGCTAGAAACAGAAATCTGATTTTTTCTAGTAGTTTCATCCCTATGATGTCTCTAATTATCTCAAAGGAGAGTGAAAAAAATCTGAAAATAAATTTTAATTAAAAATATATATCCTGGGGTGCCTGTGGCTCAGTTGGTTAAGCATCTGCCTTCAGCTCAGGTCATGATCCCAGGGTCCTGGGATGGAGCCCCACCTCGGGCTCCCTCCTTGGCGGGAAGCCTGCTTCTCCCTCGCCCACTCCCGATCTCCCTGCTTGTGTTCCCTCTCTCGCTGT